TGGCGTCCAGTTCCTTCCTTCTCTCCCTTTCCTTGGACTCTGTTTCCCTCCGGGCCTCGCTGGCCCTCCTCGACCTGGTTCATTTCTCGTCCCAGCGTTTTCAGGGTCACCTCCCCTTCCCCTCCTCCTGGCACAGCTTCCAGCCAATCCATGCTTCCTAATTTCTCTCTTGACAGATCAACAGAACGGACCTGTTCTTAGCACAGAGCTCAGAACAGGATCCAGGGCTGAATGACTTAGTGGATGCCATCAAACGTTTGTTCTTGGATGCCCACCGCCCTCGTGACTAGGAAGTCACTGGGGATGACTGTTCCTGAAGTGCTGCCATGCTTGATACGCTGCTGGCTCACAGGAGCAAGCAGCAAGCTCCGCAGGCAGACTCAACCCTCGTCGAAGGCCAGAAGACCTTTCTCTCCTCATTCTTCCTTCTCTTTTCTTTTCTCTTATAAGTGGGTGTCTATTTTTATAATTAAAAAAAATAAAGATGATTTTTAAGTCTGTAAAACTTAATGAGTTATCTTCCCGAGGGGGAATCAGTCCTTCCCTCATAAAAATGAGTGTAAAGGACTTTTCTACAGCACCAAGAAAAAAATTTGTTTGAGAATTCCCTGTATGGTCTAGAAGAATTGGATCATTTTGTGGTCCAAGTATTCTCCGTTCCTTCTCAGTACCTAATATGTGTCTAATAAACAGGGTAAAACTCTGTTGAGTGCAATTGTCCCATAGAATTGATTGGAGAAAAAAAAAAAAAACACAACACGTGGAACTGTGTTATTCGGCGTTCTTAGTCAAAGAAGCAAGCACCAAACTCTGGCTAATCAACACAGAAAAAATATTTATTAAAAAGATGTGGGCGATTTCGTTAATCGGTGTCACCATAATAAATTTAAAAAATAAAAATAAATAAAATAAATGATATTCAGAATTTAAAAAGGTGTGGGAGGCTCAGCGAATCTCTAGGAAAGATAGAGGATGAGATTTGGAGGCATCGGAGCCAGGACGGAGCCCCCAGACTGCTACAAGGCTGGTCAAGTGATGATAGCAATGCTGGTGGCAGTATGCTCCACCCACACCGGCCACACCCGGAAGCTGGATGCTGACGCAGAACGCCTACCTTGGCTGCCGCCATTGTCAACATTGCCACCAGAATGGAGAAAAGGAAAAGGGGCAAGAAACAAGTTACAATAAATAACAAATACAGCACAAGGTGAAAACAGTAAAATCAAATGCATCCCACTAAATGCGAACAGAACAAATTCTTTTACAAATTCTTACAAGAAACACTCTTAAAAACAGAGACTGGAAATAAAAGGGATGAACAAAGAGATACCAGACAAATTAAAATTTAAAAAGAAAGCGAGAATGGCAATATTACACAAGGTGGAGTTTAAGGCATCAAGAAAGTTAAAGAGGGACTTACTATGACAAAAGGTACAATTAAAGAGTAAAATATAACAATCATAAACTTGTATGTACCAACCAACATAGCAGCCAAATAAATAAAGAGAAAGTGATTAGAAACTCTGAGCTTGGTTGAAGTAGCAATGTTTATGCCCCAGGGGATAAATCGTGACAATCCTAAGTCTGTCATGTAATCCTACAACCCTTTGCCAGACATTTTTTTAGCCTCTCTTGAAGCAAGGAGAGTGGCCATGGGACCCAGTTATGACCAATCGAACATAAGAAAATGTCTGCCTGAGACCTTTCTGTTTTTTTTTTTAAGACATTTCAGGCAACTAGGGCTTAATTATATTGTCCCTCCCTTG